ATCCACACTCTTTACAGGAAAGTTGACCACAGATGTTTGTGTGAATAATCTATAAAATTCCTGCGCTTCGTTTGTCATCTTTCTTAATCTTCTTTACATACTTTCCTTTTATGCATTCCCTGCATTGTTCTTAATCTGAGAGCTCTAATGGAGGAAGAATATCATTCTTAACTTGTCTTTCTATTCTCCCCCTCGAAATATGGCCTAAACGACAGTACCATAATTTCGACAACGCATCATGAGCTCTCTTATTCCATCTTTTCCAGAGTAACACTCTGTCACTAGCTGCTTTATCAGCTGGGTAGCATGTCTTTGAAGAGCCAGTGAACTGACTCTTTATTCTATCGAGGTACTCGGTGACCGTGTCACACTCTAGGATTAAGCCCACAATTGCAGGCCTAATCGTGTTCTTTATCACAGCCAAAACATTTCTTGTTGACAGTGACTCACTTCCTATGCACAAAAGTCATAGGACTATCTTTTGGGATTCAAAATCCCTCTCTTTAGTTGCCCAAGTGGCATCATTCTCTTTTGTCTCCCTCACTGGTGCCACAAACTCAGTGGAACATGGTGAGGTGACTACCCAGTCCACCTTAGACAAGATAAAAACTAGGTCAAAACTTTTCTTATCATAAAAATAACATCATTTGCATGCCTTGATTCCAACGTTGGTCAAAATCAAAATATACAACTATTCTTATACACTAATTCTACATCACCGGTGGGCAGAAATAGAATTAATGCATAAATCATTAACTTTTACAACTGTTGTCATACACTAATTCTACATAACCGTTGGGCAGAAGTAGAATTAATACATAAATCATTAAAATTATCAACTTTTCTTATACACTAATTTTATATCACCGTTGGGCAGAAGTAGAATTAATGCATAAATCATTAAAATTATGATATTGTTATTAACAACGTTGGTCAGAAAATAACAACATCATAATCATGTTAAATCTCTTTTTCTCCAATTAAATACCACATTGGTTCAAAATAACTGGAGAATCAACATTTTCTTTGGCTGTGGAAAAACTCTCTTTTCCTTGAATTTTACCCACAGGGAAAATTACTTTTCCTATTTTCTTTAATCCATTAATCAATTTCTAGGAAATAAACATTTACTGGAAAAACTTTCTTTTTCTCCAGTTAAATATCATGTCGGTTCAAAATCACTGGAGAATATACTTTTTCTTTAGCAGCGGAAAAAATTTCACTCAATTTCTTGAATTTTACCCACAGGGAAAAATTACTTTTCTATTTTTCTTTTGAGCCAATTTGCATTTTTCAATTTTCTGGAAAAAGAAAAAATGCAAAACTGGACTCAAACTTTACTGTTTTGGCCCAAAAACCGCAGAAATGGCTCGGCCCATTTCTTTTCGCGCGCGCAGGCCGCAACCTGGGCCTGGGCCGGCAAAGTCCCGTGCGCCCGCTCGCCCGCCTGGGCCGCAACTTGGCCCATTCAATCTCGGCCATCCATTCACATCCGATGGCCGAGCGCGCATCTCGCTCATATAAAAGCCGACGCCGCGCGCCCGTGAGCGAAACCCTAGCTCATTCTTTCGGCTGCTTCCTCTCTCTTCTTCGACGCTCTCTCCTCTCTCTACCTCAGTGCAGTGAGCACAACGAGCGACCGAGAGCGAGCGAAGGCGACCATGGCACCGCCGCCGGCCCCCTCGCCGGCGTGCGCGCTCCCCAGCGGGTGAGCGCGCCGCCGTCGAGCGGCCTGGCCGCGGTGACCCCTTGGCCGAGCCCGGCAAGCAGCGAGCCCGGCTCGGTCTTCTTCTCCCACGCCGGCGAAGGGTTTTCCCGACGCCCGGTGAGGTTTTTCTGTTCCCCTTTCCCTTTCTCCTTTCCCATCCCCTTCTTCTTTTCGATTTGGATCTTGTTTCTCTTTTCCGAACTGGTTAGGGTTTGGATCTTCCCCTTCGGATTTGAGTTGCATTTTCTTTCTTTTCTTTTCGCTTGTTCACCCGAAAAGGGGATCTAGGGTTAGGGTTCATTTCTTTTGATTTCTTTTCCTCTTTTGGAGTTCATCCGAATGGCTTTCCCTTTTCCCTTTCTCCATGCGAGTTAGGGTTAGGGTTCGGTTGAACCCGGATTCTTTTCCCTTCTTCCCCTTTCCCCTTCTTCTTTTGGGATTAACCCAATTTGGGATTGGGGTGAAAATTAGGGTTAGTCTTAGGGTTCGGCCAAATCCGAATCCACTCTTCTTCTTCTACTACTGTTTCTCTTCCCGTTGAAGGCTTTTACGGGTTTAGGGTTCGACTTGAAGTGCCGATAGCCCTTCCTTTCACCCAGTTAGGGTTAGGCTTGGGGAACCTTTATCTGTTCAGATCCGAAAGGAACTCTTTTCTTTTCTTAGATTCGAATTGGATTTGTTCTGCTCTTGGGTTAGGGTTCGGCTTCATGAACCGAGGGTCCTATCTCTTCTCTGATCCGAATGGATCTTGTTTTCTTTTCCCCCCGCGCGGTGGTGGTGGTGACCGGTAGACAGTGACGTCCGCCACCCCGTTCTCTCTTTCTTTCTTCTTTTACCCGGTTAGGGTTAGGGTTACACAGAGGCAACCAAGCTCTGGTACCATTGTTAGGATTGATGGTGTGTACCTCTGTGTGTAAACATGGATTCGGTAAGCCTCCTCGCCTTTCTCTGTTGCGACGCAGCAGCGTAGACGCTGGTGCCGCGGCGTAGTAGGCGTCCAGTGTAGAGACAGCTCTGGCTCGGTGTAGTCCTCGCGGACGCCGGTGCTCGCCGCGGCAAGTGAGGAGACGAGGTGGCGATCCATTGGTGTTCCCGTGGCCTGCAGAGGCGACGGCGGTCGTCGGTGGGCACATCCCGTCGCTGGCAGCACCTCTTTAGGATCGGATTAGGGTTTTCTGTAGGTGGGATGGCGGCTCCGTTCAACCTCGTGACCTGAGCCCAGTTCCCCACTCCTCTATATATATGTGCTGTGCGACAGGGGCCCACCAACCAGTTAGGGTTGGGCTCCCCCGATCAGGGAGCAGAGGCAAAGGTCCAATAGGCCGGTGGAGATCAACTAACACAGCTCAGTAACCATGAGCGCGTCGAGTTTACACTGTTCCAGCTAGACTCTGCTGCCCTTCTGTTCACCTCGTCCCGTCGCTCCATACCATCATGCCTTAACCCCGCCAGAAAGCTATGTCACCTCAGTGCCATCACCACGGCAAGTGGACACTCGTGAACCGACGACTGCTAGTGGCTGCTCGAAGCACAACGCCGCCATTAATGGCGAGCCACGAGCTCCGGTCCAGCGCAGCCTTCCCCAACCTATAAAAGGCAGCCCCAAGCTAGTCCTCGTCGCCTGCCCGAGCCTGCCGAGCCATCCTGCTCTGTCGCTCGTCTTCTCCCTCTCCAAGTCCTCCATGCTGTGTTCTTGCACAGAAACAGTCGCGTAGTCCCGTTGATCTCTTATGCCAGGCTACCATCATGATTCTAACAGTCAGGAACGGTCGTGCTGCCTAACACCAGCAAATGTGGAGCGGTCAAAGAAAAGTCTTAATTTCGAAGTCTGGCCCAAAAGACCACAAGAATGGCCACAACTGGAGCCCACACAGTGTAGCCCTATTTGACCGTCGTTAAGAAAAAAACAATTTTCACCGCCGAGTAGAACAATGAATCGTCATCCGGTGCTGACATTTTCTTTCGCAGCTAGTCCAATACTAATTGGCGCAAATGCCGTTCTGGCCCAGCGGTGTAACCTATATTCACTGCCGGCTGGGCATATTGTCCAGCGATCAAATGGACCTCGATTATCTCATCCGGCTCAAATGCTCAGCCAACGGTGAATACACTTATCACCGCCAGTTCATTTGGTCACTGCGCCACCCTAGCCATAGAACTGGTGGTGAAACACATTTGCCATCGGTTGTGTAAAAGTCAGCGGTGTTGAGGGTGCAGGGATGCCCATTTCTGTTGTAGTGAACAGCAACAATTCACCAGTACCTTCATGCCGTATGCCGCAGATTTGCATCCACAGGACAATGCAGCAGCCGCAGACATAAATTTCTCATCCAGTCCAGAGGGATGCGTGCAGCTTCTATAGATTGGAACAACAGCAACACTGCGACGCGGAAAAGGATTCCGGATTCTGTCTCTTGGAACAATGCCTAACTCATTGATGACCATAGATGTATCGGGTGACGGCACAACGAACTAGGGGATAAGAACATTACTTTTTTAATATTGTCTCTGGCTTTGAAACCACTTGTTAGCAAGTAATGCAAATAAGGATTGAACACGAGATACATATTTTTACATAGAAATCTCTTGCAGGAAGAACGACAATGATAAGGGTGTAGGGATAATCATTTTTGTTGCAGTGAATGCCTGGGCATACGGTAACATGTTCGTGTGCGAACAAACTCTCCTGGGCTAGAGACGGCAATAGGGAATCCACCATCAAGGAATGGCTTCTCATCCCCGCCCTTGCAAAGGAGTAAAAATTCATGTCACCACCAAAAGCTCACGCGGGATATTTCATCCCCATCTCCATAGTATGGCCAATGGTACGTAGCGTTGATTAGAGCCATAGCAAAATCGAACAACAGGATATTGTCATCTATATTGAGAAGGATGTGAACAAATGGAAGAAACAGATCTCGATGGTAAATAGGCAATACATGAACAATATCGTCTATAAAAATGTTCTAACTCCACAAACAAGGTAATCTGCAATGTACGTGAGGTAGAATAGATATCGTATATTATGTTATGAACTAGAATATTTTGATTTCACATCAAAAGTTGAATTATATTGTAATTGTTTATGTTTCATGAAGACTCATGTAATAATAATGTTGATTGGCTATAAACGAAGTGTTGCCATTGCGAACATCACTCTCAAAGTATCACTTAACAACACAGATAAAATCTATATTATTGTTGTATTATTTTTTTTCTCCCGAACATGATACTAGTCCCAAAATTAAACACATAAATCAACCAATCAGTAAAATGTATCACGACTTGCTAGCTAGGACTGCTTGGGTGGCTGGTAGTAGGCGTAGAGAGCGTAGAAGGTTTGCAGCATGGTCAACGCGACCACGACCGCCGCCACGACGACCGCGATGACCGCCCACGGGCTTCCGAAGTAGTCCCGCAGCAGCACGGCACGCCACTGGGGCCAGCTTCCTCTCTGGTACGTGACCACCTCGTCCATGAGTGGGGCGAGGTAGTTCCGGTCGGCGGAGGCGAGCGCTCCGGCGCAGATGCGGCTGAAGAACTCCGTGGCCGCCTCCCTATCGCCGTTCATGTGGTTGAGCAGTATCCCACGGCGATGGAGGAGTCGCATGTCGTCGGACGTCTTGACGAGGCAGTCCATGAAGATAGCGTAGGCGGTGACGTCGCCCGGCGTGCCCGGGTAGGTCTGCTCGAACGCAACCAGGTTCCGGAACAGGGGCTCGCTGTAGTCGTAGAGCTGCAGCGGCGGGATCTCCAGGACGCCGCTACCAGCGGAGAACTTGATGTCCAGGAAGCTCGTCGCGGTGCCGTCCTTCCTCGCCCGGAATCTGACGCCGGCGTCCTCCAGCTCCTTGGCGCAAGGCACCCACTGCGTGAGCTCCGGTGGAAGCTTCTTGTCCATCGACGCTGAGGCTGATGACTGCGTCGGGACAGGGAGGTTGGTGATGGACATGTAGAAGAGGTGCAGGAGGTGGTGCGCGTCGCCGAGCGAGACGGGGACTGCCAGCGCCGATGGCTGGTGCAGCTGCAGCCTCCGAGGATGGAGCGAGCTGAAGAGCTGCAGGCCGCCGTCCACGAGGACATCGTCGCCCTCGTCGGCGTCGACTGAACCTTTGAGCTGCTCCAGCAGAGCCCGGACGACAAACAAGGGGATCTGGTTGTTGAGCAGCAGCAGGTCGCGCGTGACAAGTCCCCATACCCCGCACCTACCGTACACCTGGGTCCAGTCGTCGTCGTCGTCGCTGCTGCCGCCGCCTTCTTTCCGTGCTCTCTTCGCTATCCGTGCCATCTTGAGCAGGCGGTGGAGGATGAAGCAGCCGTCCAGCAGCATGTTCTCAGCCAGAGTTGACCCCATGTCCATGTCAGCGTCCTCGGGTTCGAGCAACATCTTGAGTTCTAGCACGGCGTTGTCGTCGCCGCCGTCGATGGTGTCCATGGAGGAGGAGATGCTGTAGGAAGCACGAATGCTCGGCAGAAGGCTTGTCATCGCGTCCACGCACCTGCGAAGCAGCGGTGCGTGCACCTCCGGCTTCCAGTCGGCTGGCTCTGGTGGCTGTCGTCGGGTTCCAGTTCCAGCAGGTCCAGGTCCACAGCGTCGCCCCACGATGAGCTTGCGGACGCAGCACCATTTGTAGCGCTCCAGCTTCGCCATGCCTTCCGTCACACGCCTCGCCCGACCGAAGAAGGGCCCGATGCAGACGGCGGCGGGGGCATAGGGGTCCGTGTTGCCCGCGGCTAGGTCGCCGGGGACCACGTAGATGGTCGGCCGCTGCATCCAGCCGTCGTGGCACTGTGGAGGAACTGCCCCACTCACCTTCTTTTCCAGCTCCGTGAAGTCCTCTTCCAGCTCGGCGGATCCATGCTGCTTCTCTTGCTGCTCTGGTGGATCCATGCATGCATGCACGTATTTATAAAGGCAGTCAAAAAAATCATAGGATTATAGGATTGTTTGTTTTAGAGCATATATATGCACTAGCCTCTCAATAATCTATTCCCCAATCTTACTATGACTAATTAGTGGCTCCATGGTAATTCTCGTCAGACGCGCTACAAAAAGGAAAAGATAAATGGAGGCTCCATGTTACGTAATTCTCGCCAGAAGAGGCTCCATCCTATAAATTCTCACAATAATCAGAAATATCAATGGAGGCTCCATGTTAACTCTCATTAGAAGAGCTGGAAAAATAAATCTTTTAAATTCTCACAATAATCAAAACAAACTTGGTAGACTCTAATCATTATCTCCAATAATTACCATAGGATCTATCCTCTTGTATAAAAAAATTACCCACCATTGCTATTCTGAAAAATACATAAAGTAACCCCCTCCTAAATTTACATCTAGATTACCATCCTCGGCTATTGTCAAAGTTAATTCAAGATAACCCCTTCAATTTATATCTAAATTAATATGTATAACATTACGAAATATAATGTAAATTATCCTAAAGTTTACAATCAAATTACCTATATGTACCATTATGAAAGATAATATAAAGTAACATATTTTAATTTGTATCTAAATTAAATCCACATCGTCCATTACAAAAAAAATTAAACAAAAGTGTCTCTCTAATCCACATGTAAATACAAAAACTAATTCCATATACATAATGTACATTATATATATTTTAAAACTTCGCACTTCTAGCACTATTATTATAAAGTAAACATAATGTTACGTTTCAATATATAGACCAATTAAACATCTATACCTTAGAATAATTTTTTAGGTCGATAGCTTATCAAGTATTGAAAATGTTGCATTGAGAAACCACATAGCAATGATAATAGCAGTTCACTTTAAGTCTTATTAATGCTCCGTGATAATAAATTTCTTAAGTTGTTATTTTAAATAAGTCTATACATTCGACTAAAAGTTTATGCCATATTAATATTGGAATGTTAAGAACTCGATATTTTATAAGCAATACTGCTACACATATAATTCGTTGGTATAACAAATTTAATATCTTTAGTGCTGCGGTGCATGCTAAAACAACTATTTATGGTACTGTAAGAACAATAGCATAGTCTAAGATAAAAAATCTTCTTTTGATCAAATAAAAAATACAAACTTTGAGTAGAAGAATGATAAGCACTTGAGTTTCAACTTGACATGTGATTTGAAAAATTGCTACAATTAGTTTAAAAGTTTAAAGTTAAAACAGATTTATGACATGGAAAGCGATGCAATATGGGAGCTTATATAATTTAAAATTAGATTTCAACTAAATACCACGCTAAAGAAAGATAAATCCTAAAAATTTTAACTAAAGGCTCCTCAAATACTTTTTTTACTATTCACATGTGTTGTTCCGAGTTTGGATCATGAAATAATAGCTATTGAAAGATGTAACAAAGGAAAAAAAATGTTATTGTAGTTGCTACACAGTAGTCACACACATGAACACTAACGCATTAGATTTCCCTCCATGAAGGAGTGAATCACCACGGGCTTGTCATCGATCGTGCTCAATGTGGTTGCCCTAGGTGAGATGCCAAATCCTAATCCACTTAATTTGGTAAGGTTTGTGGATCAAATCATCTAATTAGAAGGGGTTTAGTTATATAATAATTCCTGAAATTAATCTTGTCCAAGTTCCTGAAAATAATTATATACAAGAATATATAAGTTTTCCTAAGGAGAAATGAATAGTAACCTTACCCGTCGACTCATTGGCTTGAAGGCCAGCAATAGGTTCTGCACTGATTTTTTCGTTGGCTCGTCTAGCTTCATCTGCACCTGTGTCGTCGCTCCACAGGCTTTTGCCTGACAAATATTGGAGTCACAAATGGTGAAAATAATTGTTAGGCTACAAATAAAGCGACGACGCCATAGTTTTTGTGTCGGACAAGTGTACAAGATAATTCATATTGGAACACTACCTATGATCAGAAATATAAGTCCATTAAGGTTCCACCAAGTTAAACTTATTTTTTATTTTGACAATCAATAGGTAAAATGATATTATTGGACAGTTTATGACTGATGCCACAATATTTATCATGAAAAGTTATTTCATCAATAGAAGGAGTTATATGTGAAAGTATTTTTTTTCTGCAAAACAGAGAAGTACTTTCATAATGTACTATAAATATTTCTATTTTGAGCAATATATTGAATGATAACAAGGGTAACAAGAAAATAGATTTATATGTGCAGTCTAATCCTATATATTTAACGGTACAACTTCTTAGACTTTTGATGGCATTAGATGTCTCACATCCATTAGTCTCGCACAGTTGAATGCTCAATTATTTCATGCGTTTCTTCATAGTGCGAGACTAATGGATGTGAGACATCTAATGCCATCAAAAGTCTAAGAAGTTGTACCGTTAAATATATAGGATTAGACTGCACATATAAATCTATTAGTAATGAACAGTGGAAAATAGTAACTGAGGGGGAATTAAAATGGAGCAAATGCATTGCACATTACCTGTAGGCATCTCTATCTCCATGATTCTTCCTATGGTACAGAGAGAACCGTATAATATAATCCAGAAAATGAGAAGTAGCCAGGGAGGATGTCTGCTTGTGTATGTATATATCATGGGACAAGCTATGGGTGCATATATATACACGAGATGAGCCCATGTGAAATAGATTCTTTCCGTGTGTGCAACGGCAACTGGCCAAAGAATTGATTATTACCGTCTCTGTCACGAAAAGGTCTTATGTATCTTTTTTGTACGACACGACGGGTCTTTGTTCGAAGAGGCAAACAGGTGTGTTAAACAAGCTAATAAAAAGTAAAGGTGCGAGCATTCATCGCTACTATTGAATCGATTTCTAGATGTGGTGAAATACAATTCTAGACGGTGGTTATCGCAACCACGGCTAAGCTATAGAAATGCATTTCTCAGACGGTTTCTAGAAATCAAATTTATATCACTGGTAGAGAAACAAGCTGTACAGTCCCGGTTTTGGAACCGGGAGCACGAATCCAGGACTAAAGGGTCCCTCTTTTAGTCCCGGTATCGCGCCCAGGACTAAATGTCCACCTTTAGTCCCGGTTGGTAATACCAATCGGGACTAAAGAGGCCTTCCGGCCTGGCCACGTGGGTCGTCCCTTTAGTCCCGGTTGGTATTACCAACCGGTACTAAAGGTTTTATTTTTTTTATTTTTTTTTGTTTCTATTTTCAATTGATGATTCGTTTTGGTTTTCGAATAGGTTTTCGAATACGCATTCTACGCTGCTAATAATATACGTATTCTACACGTTTATAATGTTCGAATATTTTGTACAAACTAAAGTATGAAACTAACGTATATATTACTTATGCATATACATATATTGTACGTAATTTTATGTACATAATATATATATATATATATATTACAAATAAAGCTTGCATTATATATTCTATCATATCCTTGGATAATAAATTCACTCCATCTGGTTTGGCTTCCATGTTTGGTTGACGTCATTGTAGAACTCGTCGGCGGGGTTGAGGACCTGGTCATTAAGAAATCCTGCTATGGTCTCTTAAATTGCTTTCAGTTGGTCACGTCGTATGACTTTTTCCTTCAACCACAGAGTCTTCAATAAAAGTTAAAAGAAAAGTATTAATATATATATATATGTGTGTGTGTTGGTCACGTGATTACTTATATATATAAGCAATAAAAGAAATTGTAAATATATGAATATATTTATATAACATACTTTGAGGTTCTCTTCCGAAGTTCTTTTTGAGTACACCATGATGAACTCGCAAACATAGTATGCGCAGTAGTTGTTCCCCTGTTCTTGCCTCAGAACCCACTTTTACGAGAAAAAAGATCCATGTAGCTAGTACTTACTTTGTGTGCGATTACATCCAGTGACGCTTTGCAATGTTTCATGTGGTGTTTCTCAATGAAACTTTTCCAAACACTGCGCCCAATAAAATAAAAAATTAATTTGGCCTCTAATAATTGTTGCAGTTAAGAGATCGTGGTATATATAGTTGCTAGAGAGACCAAATTACCCTTGGATAATATCTATCATGTCTTGGTACTCTGTTTGCTTTTTTCTTAACGAGTCTAAGATGTGCAACCGACTATTGGCCATATCGATGACCATCAATATCCAGTGATTGCTGCATATGTTTTTATACACAAATATGATCGACATTAACTAGAGTCAACATATGTATATGTGGGAGATATCTTAGCTAGTAAGCAAATAATTGAACAAATGTCCATATGATCGACATTAATTATTTAACACTCACTTGAAGTTGTAGAGGAATAGTATATCCTTGTTTTGTTGGTTCACTAAGAACGTCATGAGATTTTTCTCGAGACCAGCTTTGCATCCAGGCGGCGGGGGATCAGGGTGTTTGAATATGACATTTGGATCAACGAAACCAACATCGTTATCCTATCTCTTTCTGAGTTCTGTCATCTCATATTTGCATATATAAAAATATAGTGTGAGGATATATAATTTATATATATCACTACTGGAATCTTGCTTTTTTCTGTGGGTGATAAATTTTTCTATGCGTTTTTTTCGGTACGCATAGAAAAATTACGATTTTTCTGTCGGTTCCAAAATATCCCGACAGAAAAATACGAAAACCCATAGAAAAATTGTATGATTTTTCTGTGCGTGACAATACACACATAGAAAAAATCAGCACTCACAGAAAAGTGCAATTTATTGTGTCGGTTCTTTAAAAACGCACAAAAAAAAATATGTACACGCACAGAAGAATCCAAACCCAAAACCACCGGCCGCCGTGCCCCCAAACACCCTCTCACGCATGCAGTAGACCGTGCCCCCTCCCTCACTCTCTCCTTTCAACACCGCGCCCCTCCCTCTGCGACTCAGCGCGGGGGCTCCTCCCCTCCCCGAGCAGCGCCGCCACTCCTCCCCTCCTCCCTCTCCCTCTTCATC